GAGAGAGAGAAAGAGAGAGAGAGAGAGAGAGAGAGAGAGAGAGAGAGAGGGGGTCACATCACAAACACATACCAGCTTCATCACTGTGTCTGTCACGCGACTCTGTTCCCCTTTCAGGCTCTGTCTTTACATTTATTTTGAAAGATGAAGCTCGCGATTATGGTAAGGGGTTCAGCCAATCATAATGCACTGGGTCAGCTGGCCAATCAGAGCAGACTGCGCTTGTCAAAGGAGGGGGCTTTGTTGAAAATGACTCGTTTGAGAGAGGCGGGACATAGAGGACCTACAATAATGTACAGTATTTGAAAAATAATAATGTTTTTTGAACATTAAAGCAGGTCAACATATTCTGTTACACCAAATACACAAAATAATGATCTTTAAAAAAGCATCATATGACCCCTTTAAGACATTTGATGCAAAATTAGATTTAAAATCTTTATTTATTTTAACTTTAACTTTATTTATTTAGTCATTTAGCAGACGTTTTTATCCAAAGCGACTTACAAATGAGGACAATAAAAGCAGTCAAAACTAACAAAAGAGCAACAATATATAAGTGCAAATGACAAGTCTCGGTTAGCCTAACGCAGTACACGTAGCAAGGTGTATGTGTATATATATATATATATATATACACGCATACACATATATATGTATATATACACATATATACACTGAGGTGATAACCAATGTGATGAGTCCAATTGACAACAATGCAGCATACAAAAGTTTAAAACACTTATTCACTAGAAACTGAAGGGCAGGTTAAGTGCATTGTGGGACATAGTATTCTGTGCAGTATGCTGTAGTCATATACTGTGTGTTATGGCAAAAGTATATAATACACACAGAAACTTATATTCCATACAGTGTACAATGTGCATACTTCAAAAATCACATACTGCAGAAAAAAACAAAACAAAACATGAAATCTCAAATTCTTAATGTCCACATCATCTGATCTGGCTCTATAATAATCTGAAGTCATGTCAGACAGCAAAAGACATTTAAACGTTGATATATCATATATTTGATATTTTGTGATGTTTCAATGCTTTTGTTTTTCTCATAATCACAGGACACAGGCGTGGGGAAATCAAGTATTGTGTGTCGATTCGTTCAAGATCACTTTGACCACAACATCAGTCCAACGATAGGGTAAGTGCATCTGTTTACTAAACGCTTGATTTACACATAAGGAGGTGAAGAAATCACATCCGTCAGCTCATGTGGAGGAGGAAGAACGTGTGTCTAAATATTCACTCATGAGTCAAACCAACGGTTCAGAACAGCTGATTCAGAATCAGTTCAGTTGTTTCCTCTCAGTTTTGTTTACATCAGCACATGCTGATTTCTCTCGGTTGGGTTACTCATTACACTTGGAGAAGAGAATATTTTTAGCCCTTTGTTTTACACAGTTTGCACGAAAACAGAAACTGTTGCACGAAAAAAGAACCTTGTGTTCTTTTCTTTTTTCATATTTTAGTCATGGTTACTGTGATGTAATTTCCTCCTTGAATGATGACTGTATTACACATCTATTTTAAATAGTGTATAAATGTCTTACCATTTAAAAAATAGTATATGAATATTATTAAATTATATATTATTAAAAAAAATTAATAGTTTATTGATATTAAATATATATATTAAATCAAAATTGAATTTATTATTATTATTATCAAACCATATGTTTATCATGATAATATCTGTATTTTTTTTTCAGTGCATCTTTTTTAACTAAGACCGTCTCCTGTGGAAATGAACTTCACAAGTTTCTGATCTGGGACACCGCAGGGCAGGAACGGGTGAGAACGTTTATTTTGTTTTATTTATTTAGAAATTGTGGTTTAGGTGTATGAATGTTTAATTAAAAGTTTCTGTCAAACTTTTATTCATTTGTGTGTTTGTTCATTTTTATTTCACCCGCCGAGACAGTCTTTTTCTTCCTTAATGTCATAATCCTGCATAAATGTGTGTTTATTTGAAGATCTCTGAGCAGATTCGTGCATCCATTTCTATCTCATACAACCTAAACATAGTTTGTAAGCTTAAACACACAACCCATCGCACAATTTCATAGCATTCAGCTTCTGTTTTACACACACACACACACACACACACACGTTTAACGTGTTTGGATTCCTGTCAGTGTTTCTGTGCCCTTTAATTCCCAACAATAGTTCACTCAAAAAGGAACATTCTGTCATTTACAATTGGAAACATCTTGAACGTGAGTAAATGATGACAGAAGTTTATTTTTGGATGAACTCTCCCTTTAACACAAGATTAAAGGATGCAAGACCATTTGACATCACAGTTATTATTTAGAGAAATCACATTTAATTTCCAACACACACACAGAGTTCAGAGTTCCCTGTAAGTGTGTGTCATTGGGTGTGGTGGAAATGAGTTTGAGAAGTGCTGGTGTGACTTTGTATTCACGTCTGTATGTTCAATATTAGTGTCCGTTCAGATTGCTCGGAAAATATGCGTCTCCTTTTGAACTTGACGTCATACATCTCCTGCATCTGTCTGAACCAAAACCATCACAAGGCATCCTAATATGCTTCATTAAAACATTAATGCTACAGTAACTACATTTTTTTTAGAAAATATGAGTGGTGTTTTCCTGTGCAAAACTTGTCAAAAGTCACTAACCACATGTAAGAGCAATAATAATAGAGATGCTTCACTTATTTAAAATATAATCATCAGAATGAACATTTTTAATCTTTAAAAGCTCCCAACATTGACAGTGTATGTTATTTTTCTGCAGTTTCATTCGTTGGCTCCCATGTATTACAGGGGCTCTGCAGCGGCCGTCATTGTTTATGACATCACAAAACTCGTAAGTTGCATTATAGTATGTTTGTGCAATTCATTTTCAAGTTGTTTCTATTTAAAAAGCATGTTTAGCAAAACACTGAAATGTGCCATTATGATTGACTCATTGTTTAGAATTGTGGGAGAAATCAAGAATTTTTTTAAAGAGAAATCACAAATGAGATCTTGTTTATATTTCAGTTGTTTCTCAGACAGCAATGAGATCAAATGGAGATTTAACTGTTACTGAAAAAGACCCCCGTGATTTCACATCAGTGTCTCAAACTGTGCTCAGATTTTCCAAAGCAAACCTCCGAGATCCCAATATGAACATTTCTCTTCAAATGTATCCGTGATCAAATGATCTGAGCTGCTACCCTCAATTTTATAGCACTGTGCTCTTACTTGATGACAACTATTGATTCGTTGGTGTCTATTTCATTTTAGCTCCTGAGGAATTTCAGGAGAAGCAAAGTTGATACTTAAATGAAATGTATGGAAGAGCAAACTCTTATCTGAAGCGCCATGTGTTTTGTGATGTGTCTGGTTTCTGCAGGATTCTTTCCAGATGTTAAAGAAGTGGGTGAAGGAGCTGAAGGAACACGGTCCGGAGGATATAGTCGTGGCCATAGCAGGAAATAAAACCGATCTGGGCGATATCAGGTTAATAAAACCCTCTTCCTCTTTCTGAAAATGTATTATATTCCCTTATGTTTCTTTCCCAAACCTGCAGATTTTCATATTTGTGACCCTGGACCACAAAACCAGTCTTAAGTGTCAATTTTTCGAAATTGAGATTTATACACCAACTGAAAGCTGAATAAATAAGCTTTCCACTGATGTATGGTTTACTAGAATCGGACTATATTTGGCCGAGATACAACTATTTGAAAATCTGGAATCTGAGGGTGCAAAAAAATCAAAATATTGAGAAAATCATCTTTAAAGTTGTCCAAATGAAGTTCTTAGCAATGCATATTACTAAACAAAAATTAAGTTTTGATATATTTACGGTAGGAAATTTACAAAATATCTTCATGGACCATGATCTTTACTCAATATCCTAATGATTTTTGGCTATTGCTACAAATATACCCCAGCGACTTAAAGGGGTCATATGATGCTATTTTAAAGATCATTATTCTGTGTATTTGGTGTAACAGAATATGTTGACATGCTTTAATGAACATTTTTCAAATACTGTACATTATTGTAGGTCCTCTATGCCCCGCCTCTCTCAAACACGTCGTTTTCAACAAAGCCCCCTCCTTTGACAAGCGCAGTCTGCTCTGATTGGCCAGCTGACCCAGTGGGTTTTGTGCTCCAGGGTCACATTTCTTATGTCTTATGTGATCATTTCAACATGAAATCAAAATTGCACTTTAAGAGCAGATCAAATTCATCAAAATGTTCATAACTAATGTTCATAACTTCATAAATAAAATGTAAATGTCTTCAATTCCTAAAGTATCAAATCAAGTCCTGCTTGATGTTTTCTTCATTAAATATCCTGTTTTTACATTGTGGAAGTAAGGTGGTTTGCGATTGCTGTTTCACTTCAGTTGTGATTATTAGATTATTATTTCAGTTCTGAGAAACTCAGACTCACAACATCTCAATGGCAGCAAACTGCACCGTCAATGATAGTTTTGCTGAGACTGTGTCTCTGTTAATTAAGCCGTTTCCATTTAGAAATTTTTAATCATGCTTAATCACTTTTCCCTCGTAATTTTCTCAGCTGTCTGTCTTTGTGTCTGTATAATTACTTGACATTTGCAGGCAGTCCAGTGCTCATTTACCACAAACCCCTGATGTTTCGGTCCTGTCCTCGGTTGATCACGTTCCTCAGACTAAACACTCAGTGATGTCTGTGAGTGAGCTGATTGTTTACTCATATTCAGTGGGTTTTTTTCTAGGGAAGTTCCAACTAAAGAGGCGAAAGATTTCGCAGAGTCCATTGCAGCCATATTTATGGAGACCAGTGCCAGAAATGCAGTAAACATAGAGGAGTTGTTTCAGAAAGTCAGTAAGTATCACAAGTGTCCGCGCCACATCTGGCCCACCATAGCAAACGCGAACATTACAGCTTATAGTGCTTGCTAGTGTTTTTATTTGTTACTGTAGCATCTCCTTCATTATTCATTTTCATTTTCCAGCAATTTTACGAAGCATTCTCGAGTCAATATGGAAGCTTATTTCTCACAAATTAAAAGTTTACGTCTCGCGGTTCTTTTTTCCCTGGATTTTTAATCACCTGACCTGACCACATGCAGAATTCTGAGGAAAAAGTCAAAATTGTGAAAGATAAACTTGAATTTCTGATCAAAAAGGTCAAGAATTGTGAGAGAAAAAGTCACAATTATTTTTATATTTTTATTTTGTGGCTTTACAGGGTGTGCTTTACAGTGATTTTACCGGGGGAAAAGAGGCTGTTACTGTAAAGCAGGAACCATTTTAATTGTGATAAAACTAACTTAAATTCATGTTTAGTTTTTATAATATGGTGGGAATGGCAATTTACATATAAAACACATTCATGCTCAATAACTGCACTACTATAGTATAAAAAAAAAAACTTGACCCTCTAACACTAGCGTACTCTATTGTTTTTCAATTCTGTCTACTTGCTTTCTTTTTATTTATAAAAAAAAAATACAAAAAAATTATAAATAATAACTTGACCCTCTAATACTAGCTCTCTCTGTTCTATTTTAATTCTATCAATTTTTTTCTTATTATTATTATTTTTTTTAAACGTGACCCTGTAACACTAGCATACTCTATTCTTTTTCAGTTCTGACTACTTGATTTATTTTTATTTATTTAAAAAAAATTATAAATAATAACGACCCTCTAATACTAGCTCTCTCTGTTCTATTTTAATTCTATTATATTTTTATTTTGTGGCTTTACAGGGTGTGCTTTACAGTGATTTTACCGGGGGAAAAGAGGCTGTTACTGTAAAGCAGGAACCATTTTAATTGTGATAAAACTAACTTAAATTCATGTTTTTTTTTTTATAATATGGTGGGAATGGCAATTTACATATAAAACACATTCATGCTCAATAACTGCACTACTATAGTATAAAAAAAAAAACTTGACCCTCTAACACTAGCGTACTCTATTGTTTTTCAATTCTGTCTACTTGCTTTCTTTTTATTTATAAAAAAAAAATACAAAAAAATTATAAATAATAACTTGACCCTCTAATACTAGCTCTCTCTGTTCTATTTTAATTCTATCAATTTTTTTCTTATTATTATTTTTTTTTTTTTAAACGTGACCCTGTAACACTAGCATACTCTATTCTTTTTCAGTTCTGACTACTTGATTTATTTTAATTTATTTAAAAAAAAATTATAAATAATAACTTGACCCTCTAATACTAGCTCTCTCTGTTCTATTTTAATTCTATTTTTTCTTATTATTTATTATTTAAAAAAAAAACTTGACCCTCTAACACTAGCGTTCTCTATTCTTTTTCAATTCTGTCTACTTGCTTTCTTTTTATTTATTTAAGAAAATAATAAATAATAACTTGACCCTCTAATACTAGCTCTCTCTGTTTGATTTCTATTCTATCTATTTTTATTCTTATTTATTATTTAAAAAAAAAATACAAAAAATAATATATAATAACTTAACCCTCTAATACTAGCTCGCTCTGTTCAATTTCTATTTTATCTATTTTTATTCTTATTATTTATTATTTTAAAAAAAAACTTGACCCTCTAACACTAGCGTTCACTATTATTTTTCTATTATGTCTACTTGCTTTCTTTTTATTTATTTAAGAAAATAATAAATAATAACTTGACCCTCTAATACTAGCTCTCTCTGTTTGATTTCTATTCTATCTATTTTTATTCTTATTATTTAAAAATAAATAAATAATAAAACACACACACACCTTGCTAGGTGTACTGCTTTAGACTAACCGGGACTTGTCACAGCACTTAGATATTATTGCTCTTTTGTTGATTTGATTGCTTCTATTGTCCTCAGTTGTAAGTTGTTTTAGATAAAAGCATCTGCTAAATGCTTAAATGTAAAGGTAATGTAAATGTAGTAAGATTTAGTCCTGTAGTTGGTATGATTATTATTTTTTTTTAAGTACATTAATATTTGTATGCAGCAAGATGGCATTAATTTTATCAAAAGTGACAATAAAGACATTTATAATGTTCCAAAATATTTCTATTTTTTTTAAAAAATGCTGTTCTTTTAAACTCCTGAATAAATCCTGAAAAAATGTAATAAGAAATGTTTCGAATGATTTCTGAAGGATCATGTGGCACAAAAAAATGGAGTAATGATGCTGAAAATTCAGCTTTGCATCACAGCAAATACATTCTGCAATAAATTCAAATAGGAAACGGTTCTTTTCAATTGCAATAATATTTCACAATATTACTGTTTTATAGAATTTTTGATTAAATAAATGTAGCCTCATTGAGCATAAGAAAAAACTCTTCCTGACCCCAAACTTTTGCTCTGTAGTGTAGTGTAAATTAAATTCCTTTAGTGGAGCATTTTATTCTAGTAATCAGTGATGATTTGTCAGAGCTGTCTTTAACATGTTGTGTCATTTTCATCTCCTCTGTGTCGCAATTGACATCAGTGTGTAGTGAAAAGATACATTTAATTACATGAACACACTTGTATTTCGTTGTATTTTATCTAGTGCAATAACATGCACACACAGTGTTTTCTACCTGGTTGTGGCATAATTGTTCATGTTCTCATATCTGTGTAGGTCGACAGATCCCTCCGCTGGAGAACACAGACGCTGACAGCCACGAGTCCTTTAAACTGACACAGCAGCCTCCTCCCTCCAGCAAACGCTGCTGTTAGACATCCATCCGCAAGTCACTACAAGCGCCCTACAGCGTGATCTCCTGTGGTATCTGACCCATGTGATACATAGATTAGGATCACAATACACACAAATCAATGCGTTTTAATGCAGGAGTCTATTAACCAGATGTGGATACGGTCACATGACTGACAGACATATATATTACAGTAGGAAACTCAGCCATTTAACCCTCTAATACTAGCTCGCTCTGTTCAATTTCTATTCTATCTATTTTTATTCTTATTATTTATTATTTAAAAAAAAAACTTGACCCTCTAACACTAGCGTTCACTATTATTTTTCTATTATGTCTACTTGCTTTCTTTTTATTTATTTAAGAAAATAATAAATAATAACTTGACCCTCTAATACTAGCTCTCTCTGTTTGATTTCTATTCTATCTATTTTTATTCTTATTATTTAAAAATAAATAAATAATAAAACACACACACACCTTGCTAGGTGTACTGCTTTAGACTAACCGGGACTTGTCACAGCACTTAGATATTATTGCTCTTTTGTTGATTTGATTGCTTCTATTGTCCTCAGTTGTAAGTTGTTTTAGATAAAAGCATCTGCTAAATGCTTAAATGTAAAGGTAATGTAAATGTAGTAAGATTTAGTCCTGTAGTTGGTATGATTATTATTTTTTTTTAAGTACATTAATATTTGTATGCAGCAAGATGGCATTAATTTTATCAAAAGTGACAATAAAGACATTTATAATGTTCCAAAATATTTCTATTTTTTTTAAAAAATGCTGTTCTTTTAAACTCCTGAATAAATCCTGAAAAAATGTAATAAGAAATGTTTCGAATGATTTCTGAAGGATCATGTGGCACAAAAAAATGGAGTAATGATGCTGAAAATTCAGCTTTGCATCACAGCAAATACATTCTGCAATAAATTCAAATAGGAAACGGTTCTTTTCAATTGCAATAATATTTCACAATATTACTGTTTTATAGAATTTTTGATTAAATAAATGTAGCCTCATTGAGCATAAGAAAAAACTCTTCCTGACCCCAAACTTTTGCTCTGTAGTGTAGTGTAAATTAAATTCCTTTAGTGGAGCATTTTATTCTAGTAATCAGTGATGATTTGACAGAGCTGTCTTTAACATGTTGTGTCATTTTCATCTCCTCTGTGTCGCAATTGACATCAGTGTGTAGTGAAAAGATACATTTAATTACATGAACACACTTGTATTTCGTTGTATTTTATCTAGTGCAATAACATGCACACACAGTGTTTTCTACCTGGTTGTGGCATAATTGTTCATGTTCTCATATCTGTGTAGGTCGACAGATCCCTCCGCTGGAGAACACTGACGCTGACAGCCACGAGTCCTTTAAACTGACACAGCAGCCTCCTCCCTCCAGCAAACGCTGCTGTTAGACATCCATCCGCAAGTCACTACAAGCGCCCTACAGCGTGATCTCCTGTGGTATCTGACCCATGTGATACATAGATTAGGATCACAATACACACAAATCAATGCGTTTTAATGCAGGAGTCTATTAACCAGATGTGGATACGGTCACATGACTGACAGACATATATATTACAGTAGGAAACTCAGCCATTCTTCAGCTGAACCATTTTGTACCAAGTCAGATTGTGTTCTGAATACTGCAGTGATGCTGAGCAATGTGAGTTATCACAACTTATTATCAGTCTTTTTAAATGCAGTATTGTGACCAATAGAAATGTTAGTAGTTAGCACAATGTTTACACAATAAGTGCCTTGGAAATGCCATTTTTATGTCTGACATTGCCGTTTTGATACATAAAAACAATATTTAATAGGGTATTTCTAATCTGGCTTTATTTGACCACTTACAATGACATTTAAAAATAAATAAATAATAAAACACACACACACCTTGCTAGGTGTACTGCTTTAGACTAACCGGGACTTGTCACAGCACTTAGATATTATTGCTCTTTTGTTGATTTGATTGCTTCTATTGTCCTCAGTTGTAAGTTGTTTTAGATAAAAGCATCTGCTAAATGCTTAAATGTAAAGGTAATGTAAATGTAGTAAGATTTAGTCCTGTAGTTGGTATGATTATTATTTTTTTTTAAGTACATTAATATTTGTATGCAGCAAGATGGCATTAATTTTATCAAAAGTGACAATAAAGACATTTATAATGTTCCAAAATATTTCTATTTTTTTTAAAAAATGCTGTTCTTTTAAACTCCTGAATAAATCCTGAAAAAATGTAATAAGAAATGTTTCGAATGATTTCTGAAGGATCATGTGGCACAAAAAAATGGAGTAATGATGCTGAAAATTCAGCTTTGCATCACAGCAAATACATTCTGCAATAAATTCAAATAGGAAACGGTTCTTTTCAATTGCAATAATATTTCACAATATTACTGTTTTATAGAATTTTTGATTAAATAAATGTAGCCTCATTGAGCATAAGAAAAAACTCTTCCTGACCCCAAACTTTTGCTCTGTAGTGTAGTGTAAATTAAATTCCTTTAGTGGAGCATTTTATTCTAGTAATCAGTGATGATTTGTCAGAGCTGTCTTTAACATGTTGTGTCATTTTCATCTCCTCTGTGTCGCAATTGACATCAGTGTGTAGTGAAAAGATACATTTAATTACATGAACACACTTGTATTTCGTTGTATTTTATCTAGTGCAATAACATGCACACACAGTGTTTTCTACCTGGTTGTGGCATAATTGTTCATGTTCTCATATCTGTGTAGGTCGACAGATCCCTCCGCTGGAGAACACTGACGCTGACAGCCACGAGTCCTTTAAACTGACACAGCAGCCTCCTCCCTCCAGCAAACGCTGCTGTTAGACATCCATCCGCAAGTCACTACAAGCGCCCTACAGCGTGATCTCCTGTGGTATCTGACCCATGTGATACATAGATTAGGATCACAATACACACAAATCAATGCGTTTTAATGCAGGAGTCTATTAACCAGATGTGGATACGGTCACATGACTGACAGACATTTATATTACAGTAGGAAACTCAGCCATTCTTCAGCTGAACCATTTTGTACCAAGTCAGATTGTGTTCTGACAGACATATATATTACAGTAGGAAACTCAGCCATTCTTCAGCTGAACCATTTTGTACCAAGTCAGATTGTGTTCTGAATACTGCAGTGATGCTGAGCAATGTGAGTTATCACAACTTATTATCAGTCTTTTTAAATGCAGTATTGTGACCAATAGAAATGTTAGCACAATGTTTACACAATAAGTGCCTTGGAAATGCCATTTTTATGTCTGACATTGCCGTTTTGATACATAAAAACAATATTTAATAGGGTATTTCTAATCTGGCTTTATTTGACCACTTACAATGACATAGGAAATGAAGAATCCTACTGTGGATATAGAAAAGAATCACCCTCTTTAAAAAAATCACATTTTGTTGCTTTGCAGCCTGAAATGAAGACAGACACAGTTTTTGTTTTAATCAGCTGTATTTACTTTTATTTGTATTTACAACTTATAACATCCAAGTGAAAGATATAACACCGAATATGTCAGAAAAAAAAAACATGAAAAAAAAACAGAATCACTGATTTGGAAAAAGGATCACCCCCTCCTAAAAATGACTTGTAAACTCAATCAGGTGTAGCTTCTCAATCACCTTCTCAATAGCACGTAAAGCCATTTGACTCTCAACTGTGATCAGCTGTGCTCATTTTGATTCTAGAATATTTACCTTTATTAAAGGGGTCATATGATGCTTTTTTAAAGATCATTATTTTTTAAATACGGTACATTATTGTAGGTCCTCTATGCCCCGCCTCTCTCAAACGCTTCGTTTCCTACAAAGTCCCTCCTTCTGACAAGCGCAGTCTGCTCTGATTGGCCAGCTGACCCAGTGCATTGTGATTGGCCGAACACCACAAGCACTCGTCGGAAATGTAACGCCCCTTACCATAATCGCGAGCTTCATCTTTCAAAATAAATGTAAAGACAGTAAATCATTTAATTAGTTTTACCATCAGTTCAAGCCCGAAAGGGGAACAGACACAGTAATGATGCAGTACACAAGCCGCGGTTAAGACAGCTGACTCTACTGTGATGTGACGCTGTCACTCTCTCTCTCTCTCACACTCACACGCGCGCGCACACACACACACACACGATGCGCAAAACTCCGCATTTGAACAGTCAATAGCAAATACTTAAACTAATAACAAAACAGTAGCTGATTCAGAAGCGCCAGATTGTCATAGCAAAGTCAGAATTACCTCCTCTCCTAGGTTCA